ATCCCGTTGCTATGGTAACCTGTCTTACATTATCAGGTTTTTTTCTGTCATGTTATTTGTTAAACGTGTTGTGATATTCAGATAATAAATTCAGGTTCAGCTTCAGGAAAGATTCAGTTCTGTCCTGTGAATGTGGCTTTTGTAGTATCGATTCTGCTCAAATGAGTATCTAGTTTTGATAGTGGCTTTAGTATCAGTTAGTATCAGTATTTTGACAGCCCTAGACCATAATTAGGATTAACCCAATAATGTGGACACCCTGAGGGACTGGCCCCTCTCCTCCTCTGGACTACAGCGGGCGTCACGTCTCTGCTCTTCCACAGCAGCACCAGGGCCCAGGAGCTGAGCGTGGCCCCACTGCAGAGCCTCTGTCGGGGGGTGATCCGCAGAGCGCCGAGACCCTGGCCTCTGGAGCCTAAGGTCTGGACCCTGGACTTACCCGTCGCCCTCAAGGACTACCTCCTGCTGAGCGAGCTGTGGCCCGTCCTAACAGTGCGCTAAGACTTCCCCGTATACCACAGTCAGATCTAAAAACATTACTCAAGTAAATGTAACAGAGCACTGCCCTCCTCTGTTGAGCAGACTCTTACCTCAACTTACTGAATTTGTGTTATAGTGTTGTTACAATACAGAAAAAACTGGAACTGGATTTGGATTTTGATACTAAGGAATAGACACAATAAAACATGAGACACAAACACAATACAGCCGTCCAGTTCTCAGACATGTTACAAACACAAATGAATTCACTGAAACACTCTAATGTGCCGTTTCTTCCAGGCTTTACACAGAAATAATGCCAATTTATTAATATTAGAATTAAACCACCATTTCATCTTAACATCATCATTACACCAGGACATGTCAGAGCACTGGGTGAACATTTCATAAAAACAAAAGACTTTCATCATAAAAAGGAGAATACAACAAAAAAACTGGCTTCACTTTCTCCTTCTCCCAACTCACTTCTATCTGTGTCGTCCTCAGTGGTCCATGGGTTTATACTAGTCTGTGTGCTCTTATACTTGCTCTGACACAGCTCAAGATCATTCTAAAACTGTTCAAGAAAGGTTCATTTCTCAAGTTAACCAGTTGATTGTGAATGATTTTCTTCCCTAATGCCCACAGAAAATCAACCCCAGTTTAAACACGTTCTCTGCTGTTCGCATGTGTGACCTGTTCCTCTCTACAGCAGCTTTGTGACCTACAGAAACCCCGGCTGAGGTGGATCCTGAGGATGCACTGTCTGTAAAGTTTTCCCTTTTAACCACACAGTTCTTATGGGCCTGTGAGTTTGTATATTTGTCCAGTACACAGTGTTTTCCTCTTATTTACTCTCCTTTCAAAAGAGTCCTCCACAGAGCTGTCACTCTGGAACAGAAATGAGTCTTTGTTTACAGAGTACTCTACCCAGGAATATGTATAATAAAATGTTTAAAATCATCATCATCATCATCACCATCACCGACTCATGGTCCATTTTTAAAACAGACAGGGACAGTTACAATACAAAACAATAAACATTTATGTTTTTAAAAGACAACCACACCAGTGTCTCCACATGTTGGACTGAGATTTTATTGCTCTGAATCTCATATTTGTGAGTGACATTTATTATTTCATTGTCTGATTTGTTCAGTCTGCAGATAAAACTGTACATTAAAGTTCTAAGTGCTGCTTGCAGAGTGTTCACTTGTGCAGTAACAAACATTTCAGTCGCGCTCGTCCATCGTGGCTCCTCGAAAGCTCCGTAAAGCGTCACTGTAGACACCTGCAAACTGGCTTTTTTATAATGAGTCCAGAGGTGAGCTGTGTACAACGGTGAACAATATGATCTAAACAAAAACAACTTTACATCATTTATACAAGAACCAAACTTACACATAAGAGTATTTACCTGAGCACAGATTGTCCTACACTGTCTGTACATGTCATCAGACTCCTGATCAGATATTGGGATGACACGGTCCTGGTGTCGCTGCTTTCAGGATCTGAGGGAAATCATGGTCCTGCGCTGGAGCAGTTTGTCCAGTGGTGTGAGGACAACTACCTGGATTTGAACGTTGCCAAAACTAAGGACATGGTAATTGATTTTAGACGTGCACCTTCCAACAGTGTTAGTGTCATCCACGGTGATGATGTTGAAATAGTGGATAAATATCTGGGCACCGTGATGGACAATAAACTGAAATTTGACCCAAACACTGAAATCATCTTCAAATGAGGGCAGTAAAGATTATATTTGTTGAGGAAACTTATTGTTCTTTTATCGAAAGTCTTCTTACTTTTTCTTTTATTTGCTGGTTTCAATCCTTGTCTGTGAAGGATAAAAACAAACTTCAGAACATTGTTAAAACCTGCTCAAAAATCACAGGGGTCAAACTGAGGGAGCTGCACTCTTTGTGGGAGGAGCAGGTGCTGAGCTAAAGCCAAGTGTCTCCTGGCTCAGCCGCTCCATCCTCTGGCTCCTGATTTTATCCTGATGCCTTCAGGGCGTTGGTTTTATGCTCCGATATGAAAGACTAACCGGTTTTCTAATTCTTTTGTGCCCTCTGCTATTAAGTTGTTAAATTCTAAGGGTACAGTTTTTCTGAATGTTACGCACTGTAATTTGTAGTTTATTACTTGAGTTCCACTGGTGGACTGTAATGGACTGACCCACTGTGTGTGTTTGTGTTTGTGTGTGTGAGAAGTGAGAACTGCTCAGATGCTGCTAATGAATTGCCTTATGGGATCAATAAAGTTTTCTTGAATCTGAATCATCATCTGTCATGTCCACACTGATGATCTGCCCAAGATATTTAATTTTTGTTGTAACAGACAACACAACATTGGACAGGCAAAAGTCAGGAAATCTCATGTGCTTATCTTCTTTGGTCCTACAGATCATGACCACTCTCTTTGTTGCATTATACTTTATATCATGCTCCACACCGTAAACTGAACACGTGTTGAGTTATTATCTTATCTCATCTTATTATTTGCTGTTGACGCTCCACCTGCCTGTTTGTCTGGGGGTGGCCAGTCGACACGAGCTGATTCACGACAGCATTGAAACCCAAGACCCAAGCAACAGCAGTGTGTAAAACTGATCTGAGCTCAATGCTGAGACACTTTCCGTTGGTTTCAGTCCATCTACTCCACTTTCACTCTTTGGACCAAACTGTGTGAATGTGCAGAAACCAGCGTCTGCAGCTGAAACTGAAGCGGGGGTCAAACCTGAAGTGCAGAGGCCGACTGCTTTCACATCTACAGCTCCGAGTCGTCCAGGTTTAATCTGGTTTCGCATGACACCACAACGTTCTGTAGACTCATCACAATCAAGACACATGAGGCAGCAGCTCAACTAATACTGTTAAATGCTGATTCTTGTTGGAATTCTTGTTAAGTTTTTGGTTCTAGTCAATAGTGTAGTCACGATACTAACATTTTAAACTCAATTTTGATACCACAGACAGACTCAATACTGTTTTGATATCACGATGACAATACAAAAACACTCTTTATTTAGACAACAGAATGTGATTTTCAGTATTAAATGTTCGAACTTTCTTTTCTATTCTCATGTGTCTTATATCCAGTGTTGGGAGTAACATGTTATAAAAGTAATGAATTACTGTAATGTTTTGCTTTTTGCTGTAACGCAGTAATGTGGCATTACAGGGACAAAAATATAATATTTTACTCAGTACAAATGTGAGTATCGCGCGTTGCTGGGAGGAAAAATATTAAAGGACCAGACCAGACGAACATAATCTGTGCATCATTCATTCATTCGGTTTTTAATATAAAACCAAAAGTTAGAAAAAAAAAAACAAACAAAAAAACCCCAACACCTATTTTCTTGATTATTTGTCTCCAAAACCAAAAATGAAAAAACAGATAACATCCGTTTCCCATTTATGCCACTTAAACTGCAATGCTGGACAGAACCAGGACTAAACCAGGACTAAATTGTTCTCAGTCCTGGTCTGGACCCAGCCTCAATCCTGGTCTGGTCACAGTCTGGTCCCAGTCTCAGTCCTGGTCTCAGTTTCGGTCTCAGTCCTGGTCTGGTCCCGGTCTCAGTCCCGGTCTGATCCCGGTCTCAGTCCCGGTCTGATCCCGGTCTCAGTCCTGGTCTGTCCTGGTCTGGTCCTGGTCTGGTCCCGGGCCTCAGTCCTGGTCCTGTTCTCGGTCTCAATCCTGGTCTCAGTTCTGGTCCTGGTCCCGGTTTAAGTCCTAGTCTCAGTCCTGGTCTCACTTCTGGTCCTGGTCCCGGTCTAAATCCTGGTCTCAGTCCTGGTCTGGTCCTGGACCTGGTTTAGTCCTGGTCTCAGTCCTGGTCCTGTTCTCGGTCTCAATCCTGGTCTCAGTTCTGGTCCTGGTCCTGGCCTGGTCCCGGTCTCAATCCTGGTCTCAGTCCTGGTCCTGTTCTCGATCTCAATCCTGGTCTCAGTCTGGTCCCGGACCTGGTTCAGTCCTGGTTCAGTTCGGCATCGCAGACACGGAAGTCACGTAATCCTTTTTTTCATTTTTCATTTAAACACAAAATCGAAAAACTGTAAAAACGAATCATTATCCATTTTTTCATTTAGATTTTGGAGCCAAATAATGAAGAAAATTTTTGTTTTTTTCGTTTTCTTATTTTTGGTTTTATTTTGAAAAACGAATGAACGAATGACACACGGATTAAAAACACAGTAGAACCTGTGGCACATCGAGACACAACCTCACCAACATTTCAACTTTAAGCTCGTTAAAATTGACAAAAATCACCTCATATTTCTCAGTTTGACTCACAGAAGCATAAGTCTGACTTTCATCACGCGTGTTGTCACTTTATCCGAACGTGACCTCTTATTTTTGTGTGTTTTAATCGTCTTTTTTACTTTGACTTCCTCCGTTTTTCGCTGCTCCACAACCTTTTCCAACCTGTTCTACCTAGCAACACGTGACTCTATTTTCTGATTGGTCCGAAAACGTGACGTCACAGTTGCCTATATAAACTCGCGTCTGAGTCGAGTCCGCAGACAGAGACAGAGACAGAGAGAGAGAGAGACACAGACACAGGAGACATTTTTATTTACATTTTTGATTTGATTTTCAACATGAACTCGTGTGCGCTGCTCCTGCTCCTGGGGACACTGCTACACGGAGCCACAGCCAGTGAGTAAAGCTGTTTTTGTGCGTTCACTTGTCCAAGAAGAAGCAAGAAACGTGGATTTAGTAAAGCACAAATAGAGTTATCATAGTGTTTACTGCGTCCGTGTTCAGTTTAGTGTTCAGCTTTAATGAGATTCTACAGGGTTTTTGTGTGTTCAGTCTGGGTTTTGTGCAGTCGTGATTGCGCAGTTAAAATAAAAATACTTTCACTTTCCAATTTGAGACGCAGAATAACAACAGTTTAAATTGAACAGAAAATCTAAAATATTGTTTAATCCACTTAAATTCGATTAAAGTTGGTCATATAAAGGATAATGAGCTGTTAATATTGTTCTTGTTCACTCTTTAGTTGGACTAGTTCATGGGCTCGTTACGCAGGGAAATGTTTTGGCCTCCATGTCCCATTGGAATTGTTCAGTCTAGTTAATGACATGTTGAGCTGTGACAGAATTATCCAATCCACGTTATTTATATAAAATATTTCATAAACAAAACAGTTTCCAAAGTGCTGCACAATACAAATAAAACATATCCAAAAGAAGTATAAAATAAAGCTCGACTTAACTCCACTAGTCTTCATTAAAACAATAAAACTAGTCAAATAAGAGCAAGAATACCAATAAATAATAAAAAACATGAAAATAAAAGACACAGAGATTATACCTCTTTACTCACCATAGATGAATTTAACGACAAAAAATGTTCAAATAAAATATTAAGAAACATTATTACTACCAAATTGTATCTTCTCCCATTAAAAAGAATTAGTGCACTTAAAAACTTTCCAGTTAATATCATAAAAAAAAATAAAAAATTACCTCTTATTTCCAGTTTCTCCTAAAGTCAAAGAAACTCACTTTAAAATGTTAAATAATATTTATCCCTGCAATGATTTTTTGAAGAGTTGTTTTAATTTGGAGACCAATAAGTTCACATTTTGTACCAGTGAAATAGAAACTGTTGAACATTTGTTCTTTTATTGTGGCTGTATTAGAACGATTTGGGACTCGTTCCAAATGTGGATGGTGGAAAATGACACAGATTTAACCAAATGTCACCAAGAAGAAGGTAAAATATGGAGTCATTTTACAAGACAACAAAAAGGAACTTTTCTATAATTCTTGTTTATTACCAGAGCAACAGTTTATTCATAAATGTAAATTCTCAAATATAAAACCTTTGTTCCAAATTTATCTTAATGGATTTTTGTAATTTAAGAGTCTTGTGTCATATTAAATCTAAACAAACTGTTGTAATGAATCATTTTATGCAGATGTGAAAGACTCTTTCTAAGACTGTGCAGTTCATTGAATTTTCATCGGGATTTTGATTTTTGTGTCAAACGATCTCAAACTCATATCATCAATTTGAAACAATTTAACTTAACAAAGTTTATTTTGGGATATTTTTTATATAAATAAGTATATTTATTTTATTTTTAAATATGGAAACAGCTGGATATATAGTTTATTTTTTATACATTTATGTTTTTCTGCCTTTTTTCATGTTCAAAGTTTATTTTATTCATTTTATGTTTTATACATCACAAAACTGCTCTAAGGTTCATATTTCCTGTATTTATTTTCAATTTGAAAGTTTTGCTTAAATTATCAGTAACAAAGTGTTGTTTTTGAGAGAGAAATGCTTGTTACGACCCGGGTGGATCAAACATATTAAAGAGGACACAGGAGATGAAAAGGTTACAACAGTAAAAGTTATTTTTATTTTTAAGTAAATTTTAATTTACTTTAAAACGTGCTAAAAACCGTGTCCAAAGTATCAACAGAAAGGTGGACCTGGTGAGCACCAAACAGAACAAAAGGATGTGGCACCGGGTCAACCCCGTACAGGGCCGTAGGAGCCGGTACCGACATCACTAAACTAAAGGAAAAAAATGTCCCCAAAACTAACTTCACCAAACAAAAGATGAAAACAGAACAGACGGTCCCACCAGGTCAAACACAAAAAGACTCACAGCAGCGAACAGGCAGGTGCGGTCTGCGCATGCGCCGAGCAGCCAAGACAAGGGAGCGCGCAAAGCGACGAGCGCGCGCCCAGGTGCGCGGAGGGCGAGGCCGCGCGCAGCGAGAGCGCAGGAGCAAGAGCACGCGCCACTGATAGGCGGCCTATTTATACCCGGACAACCACGCCACAAAACACACATAAATATAAGAATACACGCAATAGATGCGCAATACACGCAAAGGCAGATGCGCAAGCACACATGCAATGCAAAAAACATGCTGAATAAAATATGTAAAAAGAATGAATCGTTTAAATAATCGTAATTGATTCAAATAAGACCATGAATCAGTGATAAATTTTTCCATAATCACGCAATGCTAACTGCTGAATTGCTCTGTAACTTCAATAATCGTGATTTCATTTGACAAAATAATCGTATAATGATTTTTTCCATAATAGCAGCTCTGCCTCTTGCACTGCATTTTGTATTAATCATATTTTATTATTATTTATTTAGTTTATTATTGTGAAAAATAAAGTATTGAACTTAGTTGCACCTTTGACATTGTTGAACAATGTATTTTGTGTTGCCAGCGTTGATTTAAAATAAAGAAAAATTAAATATTTTGGCCGCCATCTTAATGTTCTAATGTTGTTTCCTCCTCAAAAACACCTGGAATTTTAGTTTTGTTTCATTCACACATGTTTTAGTAATCATTTATTATTAGTCTGTCTACTTCTAAAAGCTCAAAATGCTCTGTTCCACCTTGTGATGTCATGAAGTGGTAGTTTTCATCCACATGTTTAACTTTTGTTCAGTAGAGATGGTCAAAGGCTGAAATCATCACAGTGATTCTAGTGAAGGTGCATAGAGTCACTAAATGTGCAGGTTTGTGTGTTAAACTTGTGTGAATGAAACAAAACACAAGTCCAGGTCTGTTTGTGACGAGGAAACAACATTAGAACAAAGATCAGACAATAGTGTAATATTTAAGGTTGCTTTAAGGTTGTAGGTGTTTTATTTTATTTTAATCTAAACTCAGCAATAAAACAAATTACGATCAATACTACTTAGTGTTTCCATGAATATATTTTTCATATTGATCAGATTCAGTTGTATTTTGTCTCTTTAAAACAAATACAAACGTCTTTAATCTTAATTTGAATAAATATAAACAATACAGACTTTTAATCAGTTCCATTTAACACCAAAAATCTCCATTAAAAACACACAGTCTGATCATTGAGGATTAGAAATGACTGAATATCGGTTCGATTAATCGCACAGCCCTTTTTGTAACGGATCGTCCAGTTTGTTTTTGGAGTAAAAGGCAGAAAATCAGAGGGTGGCTCTTCTATATTATTGGAAACTCAACTGCTTTGTAAATTCATCTCAAAACTTTTGCAGAGTTCATTGAAATTAACGTGATTAATAATATTCACTAAGAATCTTAACTGTCATTTACACTGAGTTCTGAAATGGTTGTTTTGTTTTCACAGCGGTTCACACTTTGAAATATTTTGACACTTCTTCATCTCAAGTCCCAAACTTCCCAGAGTTCATTGCAGTTGGATATGTGGACGACCTCCAGATCACTCACTACGACAGTTTCACAAAGAAATTTGTCCCCAAACAGGAGTGGATGAACAAACTCACAGAGGAGGATCCTCAGTACTGGGAGAGGAACACTCAGATCAATTTGGGGAATGAGCAGGTGGGAAAAGTCCCAAATAGAAATTGAGAAACGACGTCCTCAACGTGACTGGAGGTTTGTGTGATCTGAACTTTTCAGATGATCATTTAACATCTTTTTATGAATGAAACACATTTAGTGTGAAATATTTATGGACAGTTTCTTTGTCCTTGTAATGAAAGTAGAAAAAAGTAGTTTTGATGTAAATCTTTGTGTGTGTTTGCAGCAGTGGAGTTTTGTTGGTCAGGGATCAGGACTGTGTTACGTTCACTTGTTTTCCAGATTCTGTTCTATCACTTTTTGTACAGAGCCAAAAATCACAACACCAGTTTCCTCCCAGAGCTTCACACAGTTGTAGATTTAACACAAACAACAATGAAACAGTCGAGAAAAGACACACACAGACCAACTGAAGCTGTAAAATGGAAATATTTCATTCCTAAATACAAGTTGTGATTTATAGAAATGAAATAGAAACATAAATGTCCCTGAAGAAGTTTGAATCTTTTAAACTGTTTTGTTTCTGTTTCAGATCAACATCTTGATCAGTGGATGTACGGCTGTGACTGGGACGATGAAACTAATGAGATCAAAGGATATGATCAACGTGCTTTTGATGGAGAAGATTTTATTTCTTTTGATTTTGAGACTGAAACTTTTGTGGCTGCAAAACAACAGGCCTTTGTCACCAAACAGAAATGGGAGAGCAGTGGAGTTGCTGCTCAAAAGAAAAACTACATCATTCACATCTGTGCTGATTATCTGAAGAAACATGTGCACAACGGAGAGAGCGCTCTGAAGAGGACAGGTAACAGACGAGTTGTTTTAAAACACTGTAACAGATCTTTATTTTGTGTCTCCTGTAATTCACTCTGGAGGGAATAAAACAATAAAAACTACAGGAGGATGGAAAATATTTGTGTGATTTTCTCTCTTAAATTTGTTTGTTGTATCTGATGTCTTCTAATGAATTGTCCAAACTGTTCATGGATGTTAGTTTTCTACATATTTGTTGTATATTGTGTAACTGTTGTGCTGCTGTGTAGAGCTCCCCCTGGTGTCCCTGCTGCAGAAGTCCTCTTCAGCCCCAGTCACGTGCCACGCCACACGCTTCTACCCCGACAGAGCCATGCTGTTCTGGACCAAAGACGGAGTGGAGGTGACGGAGGACGTGGACCCTGGAGAGATCCTGCCCAACGGAGACGGGACCTTCCAGACCAGTGTGTCCCTGGACCTGTCCTCTGTCCCCCCTGAGGACTGGGACAAGTTCAACTGTGTGTTCCAGCTGTCCGGGGTCAAAGACGACTATGTGACCAGACTGGACCGGACCAAGATCCTGACCAACGGTGAGAGCAGCTTTTTTAAATCTTTCTCTCATGTTATAACGTTGTTCCCTCATCAAAAACATGTCTGAACAGGTTTTAGATCATCCATGACATAAAAAAGGGACTTTTGACTCTGTTTTAATCTTGCATTTTACCAGCAAATTTTATATTTTCAAAACAATAAAAGACGACATGATAAAAACAGATGAAAACACTTTATATCCAGATTTACCATTTAGAGTAAAAGATGAATTAAAGTTATATTTTTTTAGTTTTTACCATTATATTGTGACCTGTATTTAGTCAAACTCTGCAGCCCTGTTACGCTGCAGTCGATGTTCTTGATATCGACCATTTAACTCAGTTATTCCAGGACGATTTTAGAAAACTGGATAAACCAGATAATGACAGAAATTGGTCAGTGACGTTTTGCAATTTTCAAATGCTCAAAAAATTAAAATATAATGACATGCAAAATGTGTAGATTTTTTGGGTTTATTTAAGTGTATATTTTATCCTTTTTGCCTCTTGAAAATGTATTTAAAGCCAAAGACGTCTTCAAAATGTCATTCAGTGCAACAGACATATTGTTAAAATTTAATTAGATTTAAAATAAATTATAGTTTTGAAAATGATGAAAAACACGTGAGATCTACAAATAAACAGTAGGCCAGTTTTTTTTTTTTTTTCTTAAAGTTTTGGAGAATTTCACAATTTGCCCAAATAATTAACTCTTGACTCTGGAACCAATTTTTATTTTAATTTTTTTCATAAAAAGAGTAAAACACTTTAAAACTGGATAAAACTTAAGCATGTTAGCACTTTCCCTCTTTAAAAGTTCTTGTAAAGTTCTTACTTAAATTTATTTATTTTTTTTATGTCAAAACAGACTTTTAAAAATACATTTCATTATAATATCACAATTTTACTGAATAACGGTTCAACTGAAATATAAAAAAAGTCCTTTTGTTTGAAACTAACTTGATAAAAAATCAACCAAATCTCACAAATATTTGTACATTTAATATATTTATTGTCCATTTGCATTTTGAATTATTACTCATGAATGTACCAAACCTAATTTCCTTTATTTATGTGATTATTTTACATTTTAAATGAAAATTATGACTCTAATATAGTAACATCTATAGTTTTATTTGAATAGTAAATAATACAAATAAAATTGTAAAGAAAATGCAGATATTTTTGAGTTAAATGTTTAATAAATGAAATTTTTCACAACACATTTTTCATACATTTTCATTCTAAACTGGTTTATACTTTCTCCATCAAAGAGAAACACAAGCATCAGTGTCGACTGTTCACACCAATATCAGATTTATTTTTGAAATTATAACAGTTTTAAACACATTTTGAACGTTGCACCAAATGTCGTCCAAAACTGTGGCTTTTGTATTTCTCGTGACAAAAGTGTCACCAGCAAAAACTAAGAGACAAATCTGAATCTTGTTTCCACTTGAGAGTCCTGCAGGGTCCACACAGTGATGTCATCAGGTGATACATGAGGAAAGATCTCAGATTATTGTTCAAATTGGCCTTTTAACACATTGACATTGATAAAATAGACTTTATTTAATACATTAAAAGTTGTTCTTTGTGTTCATTTTGAAAATAATTTCAAATGTTGATGCCGAGGCTTTTAAAATTATGCCACAAAGAAAAGTTTATGATTTTGTCAATATTTATAATTTGTGCAAATAGTGACCCATTTCACTGAATGACATTTTAAGACTTTAAATCTATAAAATTCTTTCAAATTTGTTTTTTCTTCATCCAAATGTTTATTTGTACAAATGAAACAAATACATATACATACATATACATACAATACAAATACATATAAACAAATACATTTAAACAGTTTAAACCTTTAGATATTAATAACTAGAAAAATGCCAACGTCACATCATTTACCCAAAAATAAAATAATCGTTTATGTGTCTGTGTGTGTGTGTTTTATCATGACTGACGTGTTGTGTGTGTGTGTGTTTTATCATGACTGACGTGTTGTGTGTGTGTGTTTTATCATGACTGACGTGTTGTGTGTGTGTGTTTTATCATGACTGATGTGTTGTGTGTGTGTGTGTTTTATCATGACTGACGTGTTGTGTGTGTGTGTGTTTTATCATGACTGACGTGTTGTGTGTGTGTGTTTTATCATGACTGACGTGTTGTGTGTGTGTGTGTGTTTTATCATGACTGACGTGTTGTGTGTGTGTGTGTGTTTTATCATGACTGACGTGTTGTGTGTGTGTGTGTTTTATCATGACTGACGTGTTGTGTGTGTGTGTGTTTTTATCATGACTGACGTGTTGTGTGTGTGTGTTTTATCATGACTGACGTGTTGTGTGTGTGTGTGTGTGTTTTATCATGACTGACGTGTTGTGTGTGTGTGTGTGTGTTTTATCATGACTGACGTGTTGTGTGTGTGTGTGTTTATCATGACTGACGTGTGTGTGTGTGTGTGTGTGTGTTTTATCATGACTGACGTGTTGTGTGTGTGTGTGTGTTTTATCATGACTGACGTGTTGTGTGTGTGTGTGTGTGTTTTATCATGACTGACGTGTTGTGTGTGTGTGTGTTTTATCATGACTGACGTGTTGTGTGTGTGTGTGTGTTTTATCATGACTGACGTGTTGTGTGTGTGTGTGTTTTATCATGACTGACGTGTTGTGTGTGTGTGTGTTTTTATCATGACTGACGTGTTGTGTGTGTGTGTGTTTTATCATGACTGACGTGTTGTGTGTGTGTGTGTGTTTTATCATGACTGACGTGTTGTGTGTGTGTGTGTTTTATCATGACTGACGTGTTGTGTGTGTGTGTGTTTTATCATGACTGACGTGTTGTGTGTGTGTGTTTTATCATGACTGACGTGTTGTGTGTGTGTGTTTTATCATGACTGACGTGTTGTGTGTGTGTGTTTTATCATGACTGACGTGTTGTGTGTGTGTGTGTTTTATCATGACTGACGTGTTGTGTGTGTGTGTGTGTTTTATCATGACTGACGTGTGTGTGTGTGTGTGTTTTATCATGACTGACGTGTTGTGTGTGTGTGTGTGTTTTATCATGACTGACGTGTTGTGTGTGTGTGTGTGTTTTTATCATGACTGACGTGTTGTGTGTGTGTGTTTTATCATGACTGACGTGTTGTGTGTGTGTGTGTGTTTTATCATGACTGACGTGTTGTGTGTGTGTGTGTGTTTTATCATGACTGACGTGTTGTGTGTGTGTGTGTTTTATCATGACTGACGTGTTGTGTGTGTGTGTGTGTTTTTTATCATGACTGACGTGTTGTGTGTGTGTGTGTTTTATCATGACTGACGTGTTGTGTGTGTGTGTGTGTTTTATCATGACTGACGTGTTGTGTGTGTGTGTGTGTTTTATCATGACTGACGTGTTGTGTGTGTGTGTGTGTTTTATCATGACTGACGTGTTGTGTGTGTGTGTGTTTTATCATGACTGACGTGTTGTGTGTGTGTGTGTTTTATCATGACTGACGTGTTGTGTGTGTGTGTGTTTTATCATGACTGACGTGTTGTGTGTGTGTGTGTTTTATCATGACTGACGTGTTGTGTGTGTGTGTGTGTTTTATCATGACTGACGTGTTGTGTGTGTGTGTGTTTTATCATGACTGACGTGTTGTGTGTGTGTGTGTTTTATCATGACTGACGTGTTGTGTGTGTGTGTGTTTTATCATGACTGACGTGTTGTGTGTGTGTGTGTTTTTTATCATGACTGACGTGTTGTGTGTGTGTGTGTTTTATCATGACTGACGTGTTGTGTGTGTGTGTGTGTTTTATCATGACTGACGTGTTGTGTGTGTGTGTGTGTTTTATCATGACTGACGTGTTGTGGTGTTGTCCTCTGTCTGTCACAGAGAAGAGTCACACAGTTCTCATCTCTGTTGCGTCTGTTGTTCTCGCTGCTGTTGTCCTCGCTGTGGTGCCTTCGTCTTGTACTGGAGATTTAGAGGTAACACAACATCGAGTCATGTGCTTCTCATTTTGGACAAACTTCAAACATTAAACTAACAGTTTTTTTTTGTTTCTGTTTCAGACAAACAGCCCTCGCCTCGTAAGTAACACTTTCATTTACTGCTCCTAATACTGCGACTATTACAGGACTGTGACGACTAGAAGTTAGAAATGGTGTTTAGTTGATTTCCAGAATAGATTTTTCTTCTTTCTCTGGAGTTCACAGAGTAAAACTAGAAGCAGAAGCAGTGTTTGATTGTGTGTAATGAGCTGTACTTTTGTGTTGTAGCTCCGAGTGAGAAGGAGGTGCTGCAGGAGTTGAACCCTCAGCCACGGTGAGTCTAACACTTTACTCTGTGTTTATCATCTGCTCCAAACCTGCTCCTTTAAGTCTACAGAAGTGTCTTGCTCAAAGTGACGTCCATGTGACGTCAGGTGCTTGTTACCGCACAACAGCCGCCTACTTCAACGCAGAATAGTGACGTTTGTGTCTTGTTGATAACGTGTAGGTGGATGAATGCACTTTGACCGTTCAGACTGAAGTCGCATGTCAAAAGATCAGATATGTATCGGTTTTAGGAGCACATATCCAAGTGTCCTGGGTCACATTTGAAAAAAAATCGGATCTGTGTGGTTCAGACTGTCATTAAAAGATCAGATACAGGAGCATAGGGGCCAAAAAATCGGTGCCTGTGTTATATTACACAGAAATGTCTCAGACCATTTTCTGAGTAAAACATATGAGATAGAGTGAGAAATAGTCACTTCTGGTGTGCATGTACATTCAATTCAAGCTGATTCTAACTCACAGGTGTCAAACATAAGGCCCGGGGGCCAGATCCGGCCCTCCAACACCTTTAATCTGGCCCTCGGCTGATGTTCTACTAAAATATTTTAATTATATTTTCTATTAAAATCTTGTTAATTTTCTGTGGTGTTTATCACAGCAGCGTCTCCAGCGTCTCTGTACGTGGCCCCTCCCACCAGAGCAGCACAAATGAAGACTTGTCTCTTTCCAAACGCTCTTAAAGGACGATCGTTTTGACTGTTGACCGTGACACCCTCATCAGAAAAATGTCAAACATGAGAAAAGTGGAGCCGAGTGCAGAATTTTACAAGAAAAATTGATTTATTCCTATTTACATACAAGTTCTTGTTAAAACATTGTGTTGAAATTACATTTTTCTTAAAGTTTCAGGTTGTTCATAATATATGTTAAAAAAAAATAAATAAAAAAATAAGAGTTCATCAATTAAAAAAGATTTCTGTAATAGATTTGTGTTTCTCTGCAAAAATATTTGAACTTATTGTTATTTTTGGGGTTTATCTAACATGAGTTTTCTGATCCGGCCCCTTGGGGATCAAAGTCGGTTGGATACGGCCCCCGGACCAAAATGAGTTTGACACCCCTGTTCTAAAGTGTTTAAAAGTGAATATCTTTGTCATTCGTGGGTCTATCAACGTAAAATAAAAAGTGACTGAAACATAAAACCCTCCTCTGTTAGAATATTTCAGCTATAAATCCCTATAAATGACAGTGGGCATGGAGCGACACGTGTATCGAAAGAACACGTGGACTGAATTTTGAGACCAGTATCGAACGATTCAATATTATATCGAATATCGTTGCATCCCTAGTGACCTGTATTTCTGCTTCTGACTCTTGTGTTTGTTCACAGGTGACATTCACTCGGACAAATCGGACAAATCAGCGCTCCGTCCTGACGCTTCATGGGTTTTCTCGCTTTCATATGAAATCCAAACTTTCTCCTTGTTAAATCTTATAAATGTGACATTATTGTGTGGCAGAGTGGTTAGCACTGCTCTTGGCTCAGATCTAGAATGTGTTTGTGTTCTCCACACCAGGATCCTGACAGGTTTAACCCAGAGACACTGAAGGATGGGTCAAATGCAGAGGACACGTTTCTTTCCTTGGACTTTTCCTGGAGCGGTTGTTTAAAGGCCTCATTCATGTTAAAGTTAAACCTGGGGACAGGGCGGGGCATCAGGTTCTTCATGATCTCTGCTCTTTTGCTTTGGGGCTGATGTGAAATGTGGAAGAGATTTGGAAAGATCGCAGCAAATTTCAACCCGTGTGTCGTTCGTTTATTCTTTTTTCAATATAAAACCAAAAATAAGAAAACCAAAAAAAACAACTATTTTCTTCATTATTTGTCTCCAAAACTAAAATGAGAAAAAAACAGATAATGATTCGTTTTTTCAGTTTTCGATTTTGTGTTTAAATGAAAAATGGAAAAAATGGATAATGGACTTTTGCACCGCATACGGACTGAACCAGGACTGAACAGTTTTCAGTCCTGGTTTGGTCCCAGTCCAGGTCTCTGTCTGGTCCTGGTCTGGTCCAGGTCTGGTTCCGGTCTCAGTCCCTTTCTGGTTCCAGTCTGGTCTCAGTCCCAGTCTGGTTCTGGTCTCAATCCCGGTCTCAATCCCGGTCTGGTTCCAGTCTGAGTCCCGGTCTCGGTCCCGGTCTCGGTTCCGGTCTCAGTCCTGGTCTGGTTCCAGTCTGGTTCTGGTCTCAGTTCCGGTCTCAATCCCGGCCTGGTTCCAATCTGGTTCCGGTCTCAGTCCTGGTCCTGGTCCCGCACTCAGTCCCGGTCTCAAATCACAGACTGGTCCTGATCTGATCTCAGTCCTGGTCTCAGTCCTGGTCTCAGTCCTAGTCTCAGTCCTAGTCTGGTTCCGGTCTCAGTCCTGATCACCTAACAGTCTGTGTAGATGCACCTCCGGGTCCGTCCCAACACTCAGTCCTGGTTTAGTCCTGGTTTAGTCCTGGTTCAAGTCCTGGTTTAGTCGCGTAAACGGGAAACAGCCGTGATTCATTTTTTCATTTTGGTTTTGGAAACAAATAATGAAGAAAATAGTTGTTTTATTTCATTTTCTTATTTTTGGTTTTATTTTGAAAAACGAATGAACAAATGACACACGTATTTCCTGAAAATTTGCTCTTTAAATCCATTTTGTTTTATTTTTTTCTTGAGTTTTCACACCGTTTAAAATCTTTCTCGACAGTGTTTGCTGATGTGTGCGTTGTGTCACCACGGTAACCGCTGAACATTCCACCATAGACATCCATGCGTCATCAGTCGTCAATGCTGTTTTTCTCCGTTGTGAAAAAGTTGTGATTTTCTTTTTTAATTTATTTCAAAATCGTTGTGATCAGTTTGTGGGTTTTATTTTATTCTGGTTTATTTTTGTGTGATTTGTTTAAACTTTTGTGAAGGTTCATTTACTTATTAACTGTAGACGCTGTTTGAACTCATCTGTGCATTTTTGCTTTTCAATAAAATGTGTTTGGGTGAAAAAGATCGTCTCCAAACATCTGTGATTAACGCTGGACACAACGACTCGTATCACGTGAAAATGACCTGAGTCAGCAGAGCCATCGAGTCCAGATGTCACTTTATGATGTAAAGATTTATCCACACGACCAGACCAGGACTAGACCAGGACTAGACCAGAACTAGACCAGAACTAGACCAGGACTAGACCAGACCAGGACTAGACCAGAGACTAGACCAGAACTAGACCAGGACTAGACCAGGACTAGACCAGGACTAGACCAGGACTAGACTAGACCAGAACTAGACCAGGACTAGACTAGACCAGGACTAGACCAGGAACTAGACCAGGACTAGACCAGAACTAGACCAGGACTAGACCAGGACCAGACTAGACTAGACCAGGACTAGACCAGGACTAGACTAGACCAGGACTAGACCAGACTAGGGACTAGACCAGGACTAGACCAGAACTAGACTAGACCAGGACTAGACCAGAACTAGACCAGGACTAGACCAGAACTAGACCAGACTAGACCAGGACTAGAGCAGGACTAGACCAGGATTAGACCAGGACTAGAGCAATACTAGACCAGGACTAAACCAGAACTAGACCAGACTAGACCAGGACTAGATCAGAACTATACCAGGACTAGACCAGGACTAGAGCAGTATTAGACCAGGACTAGACCAGGACTAGAGCCAGATTAGGCCAGGACTAGACCAGGACTTAGACCAGGACTAGAGCAGGACTAGACCAGGACTAAACCAGAACTAGACCAGGATTAGAGCAGGACTAGAGCCGGACTAGAGCCAGATTAGATCAGGACTACACCAGGACTAGAGCCAGATTAGACCAGTACTCGATTAGGACTAGAGCCGGATTAAAACAGGACTAGAGCTGGACTAGACCAGGACTAGACCAGATCTAGATCGGGACTAGACCAGGACTAGACTAGGACTAGAGCAAGACTAGACCAAGACTAAACCAAAACTAGAGAAGAATTAGACCAGGACTATACCAGAACTAGATCAGGATTAGACCAGAACTAGACCAGAATTAAACCAGGACTAAACCGGAACTAGACCAGGATTAGACCAGAACTAGACCAGAATTAAACCAGGACTAAACCAGAACGAGACCAGGAATAGACCAGGACTACACCAGAACTAGATCAGGACTAGACCAGAACTAGACTAGACCAGGATTAGACCAGGACTAGACCAAGACTAAACCAGAACTAGATCAGGACTAAAGACAGACTAGACCAGAATTAAACCAGGACTGGACCAGAACTAGACAAAGACTAGACCAGGCCATAACCAGCATTAGACCGCGAGTAGATCAGGACTAAACCAGGGTTGAAACAGGACCAAACAAGGACTACGCCAGGACCAGACCAGAAGTAAACCAGGACTAGACCAAGACTATGCCAGAACTAAACCAGGACTAGACCAGGACTAAACCAGGACTAGAACAGAACTAGATCAGGACTAAAACAGGGCTGAAGAAGGACCGAACCAAGACTACAACAGTACTGGACCTGGACTGAACCATTACTAGACCAGAACCAGACAAAGACCAGACCAAACCTGAACCAGGATTAGACCGAGATTAGATCAGGACGAAACCAGGGCTGAACCGGGACCAAACCAGGACTAGACCAGGACAGAACCAGGACTAGGACTCGAACAGCACTAGACCAGGACTAGACCAGAACTAGACCAAGACTGAACCAGCCAAAGAGTTCTCCGTGAGGTAAAACAGTCCAGATCAAGTCCTGAACCGTGAAAAGATTCGTCTGAGGAGGTCATTTAGCGACGGGACCAGTAAGAGGAGCGTTTGAAAGAGAAAAGGTGGAAGAAAATCGACTTTAAGATCATTAAAGTTGAAGAAAATAACGTCACATTTCACTGTTTGACTCACAACAGCAGAAGTCTGACTTTCATAACGTGTGCAAGGACTTTATCCAAACATGAATTACATTTACTTGAGTCAGTTTTAAAAGAAATTGTACTTTTCTAGCAGCATACTTGAGTAATATTTTAACTGGAGTAACAGTATTCTTACTCGAGTAAAAGTTGTGCTTCCTCTTCCCACTGTGAGTGAGTCTGAAGTGACAAAAGCTTCATGTGACAATATGAAATGATTTGAACATTCACTTTAAATTATAAATCAGATGTTACGTCCAGACAGTTACTCTTTAAGTTACTTTTACTTGAGTAGTGCTTTACCCAAATATATTTTTACTTCTTACTTGAGTGATTTTCAGCCCACTACTTTGCACTTCTACTTGAGTAATATTATTTTGAAGTAACATTACAGGAGAATTTTTGCCTCCTGTACGACCTCTGCTTTTTACTTTCACTTTCTCTACAACCTTTTCCAGTCTCTTCTACCTAGTAACACATGACGCTGCCTCTCGTTGCTATTTTCTGATTGGTTTAAAACCGCGAGGGAGAAACGAGTGAGAATNTTTTACTCAGTACAAATGTGAGTATCGCGCGTTGCTGGGAGGAAAAATATTAAAGGACCAGACCAGACGAACATAATCTGTGCATCATTCGTTTATTTGTTTTTTTAATATAAAACCAAAAGTTAGAAAAAATAACAAACAAAAAAAACCCAACACCTATTTTCTTGATTATTTGTCTCCAAAACCAAAAATGAAAAAACAGATAACGTCCGTTTCCCATTTATGCCACTTAAACTGCAATGCTGGACAGAACCAGGACTAAACCAGGACTAAATTGTTCTCAGTCCTGGTCTGGACCCAGCCTCAATCCTGGTCTGGTCACAGTCTGGTCCCAGTCTCAGTCCTGGTCTCAGTTTCGGTCTCAGTCCCGGTCTGGTCCCGGTCTCAGTCCCGGTCTGATCCCGGTCTCAGTCCCGGTCTGGTCCTGGTTTCAATCACGGTCTGGTCCTGGTCTGGTCCCGGGCCTCAGTCCTGGTCCTGTTCTCGGTCTCAATCCTGGTCTCAGTTCTGGTCCTGGTCCCGGTTTAAGTCCTAGTCTCAGTCCTGGTCACATTTCTGGTCCTAGTCCCGGTCTAAATCCTGGTCTCAGTCCTGGTCTGGTCCTGGACCTGGTTTAGTCCTGGTCTCAGTCCTGGTCCTGTTCTCGGTCTCAATCCTGGTGTCAGTTCTGGTCCTGGTCCTGGCCTGGTCCCGGTCTCAATCCTGGTCTCAGTCCTGGTCCTGTTCTCGATCTCAATCCTGGTCTCAGTCTGGTCCCGGACCTGGTTCAGTCCTGGTTCAGTTCGAAATCGCAGACACAGGAAGTCACGTAATCCTTTTTTTTTTTTTTCATTTTTTCATTTAAACACAAAATCGAAAAACTGTAAAACGAATCATTATCCATTTTTTCATTTAGATTTTGGAGCCAAATAATGAAGAAAATTTTTGTTTTTTTCGTTTTCTTACTTTTGGTTTTATTTTGAAAAACGAATGAACGAATGACACACGGATTAAAAACACAGTAGAACCTGTGGCACATCGAGACACAACCTCACCAACATTTCAACTTTAAGCTCGTTAAAAATTGACAAAAATCACCTCATATTTCTCAGTTTGACTCACAGAAGCATAAGTCTGACTTTCATCACGCGTGTTGTCACTTTATCCGAACGTGACCTCTTATTTTTGTGTGTTTTAATCGTCTTTTTTACTTTGACTTCCTCCGTTTTTCGCTGCTCCACAACCTTTTCCAACCTGTTCTACCTAGCAACACGTGACTCTATTTTCTGATTGGTCCGAAAACGTGACGTCACAGTTGCCTATATAAACCCGTGTCTGAGTCGAGCCCGCAGACAGAGACAGAGACAGAGAGAGAGACACAGACACAGGAGACATTTTTATTTACATTTTTGATTTGATTTTCAACATGAACTCGTGTGCGCTGCTCCTGCTCCTGGGGACACTGCTACACGGAGCCACAGCCAGTGAGTAAAGCTGTTTTTGTGCGTTCACTTGTCCAAGAAGAAGCAAGAAACGTGGATTTAGAAAAGCACAAATAGAGTTATCATAGTGTTTACTGCGTCCGTGTTCAGTTTAGTGTTCAGCTTTAATGAGATTCTACAGGGTTTTTGTGTGTTCAGTCTGGGTTTTGTGCAGTCGTGATTGCGCAGTTAAAATAAAAATACTTTCACTTTCCAATTTGAGACGCAGAATAACAACAGTTTAAATTGAACAGAAAACTAAATATATTTGTTTATTCAACTTAAATTTGATTAAAATTGTTCATATAAAGGATAATGGGCTGTTAATATTGTTCTTGTTCACTCTTTAGTTGGACTAGTTCATGGGCTCGTTACGCAGGGAAATGTTTTGGCCTCCATGTCCCATTGGAATTGTTCAGTCTAGTTAATGACATGTTGAGCTGTGACAGAATTATCCAATCCACGTTATTTATATAAAATATTTCATAAACAAAACAGTTTCCAAAGTGCTGCACAATACAAATAAAACATATCCAAAAGAAGTATGAAATAAAGCTCGACTTAACTCCACTAGTCTTCATTAAAACAATAAAACTAGTCAAATAAGAGCAAGAATACCAATAAATAATAAAAAGGTAAAAAAAAAAAGACACAGAGATTATACCAAAATTCTCTTCACTCACCATAGATGAATTTAACGACAAAAAAATGTTCAAATAAAATATTAAGAAACATTATTACTACCAAATTGTGTCTTCTCCCATTAAAAAGAATTAGTGCACTTAAAAACTTTCCAGTTAATATCATAAAAAAGAACAAATTACCTCTTATTTCCAGTTTCTCCTAAAGTCAAAGAAACTCACTTTAAAATGTTAAATAATATTTATCCCTGCAATGATTTTTTGAAGAGTTGTTTTAATTTGGAGACCAATAAGTTCACATTTTGTACCAGTGAAATAGAAACTGTTGAACATTTGTTCTTTTATTGTGGCTGTATTAGAACGATTTGGGACTCGTTCCAAATGTGGATGGTGGAAAATGACACAGATTTAACCAAATGTCACCAAGAAGAAGGTAAAATATGGAGTCATTTTACAAGACAACAAAAAGGAACTTTTCTATAATTCTTGTTTATTACCAGAGCAACAGTTTATTCATAAATGTAAATTCTCAAATATAAAACCCTTGTTCCAAATTTATCTTAATGGATTTTTGTAATTTAAGAGTCTTGTGTCATATTAAATCTAAACAAACTGTTGTAATGAATCATTTTATGCAGATGTGAAAGACTCTTTCTAAGACTGTGCAGTTCATTGAATTTTCATCGGGATTTAGATTTTTGTGTCAAACGATCTCAAACTCATATCATCAATTTGAAACAATTTAACTTAACTTAACAAGTTTATTTTGGGATATTTTTTATGTAAATAAGTATATTTATTTATTTATTTTTTTAAATATAGAGGTTGTAGAACAGCTGGATATATGGTTTATTTTTTTATACATTTATGTTTTTCTGCCTTATTTCATGTTCAAAGTTTATTTTATTCATTTTATGTTTTATACATCACAAAACTGCTCTAAGGTTCATATTTCCTGTATTTATTTTCAATTTGAAAGTTTTGCTTAAATTATCAGTAACAAAGTGTTGTTTTTGAGAGAGAAATGCTTGTTACGACCCGGGTGGATCAAACATATTAAAGAGGACACAGGAGATGAAAAGGTTACAGAAGTAAAAGCTGTTTTTATTTTTAAGTTAATTTTAATTTACTTTACCCGTGTCCAAAAACAAAGTATCAACAGAAAGGTGGACCTGGTGAGCACCAAACAGAACAAAAGGATGTGGCACCGGGTCAACCCCGTACAGGGCCGTAGGAGCCGGTACCGACATCACTAAACTAAAGGAAAAAAATGTCCCCAAAACTAACTTCACCAAACAAAAGATGAAAACAGAACAGACGGTCCCACCAGGTCAAACACAAAAAGACTCACAGCAGCGAACAGGCAGGTGCGGTCTGCGCATGCGCCGAGCAGCCAAGACAAGGGAGCGCGCAAAGCGACGAGCGCGCGCCCAGGTGCGCGGAGGGCGAGGCCGCGCGCAGCGAGAGCGCAGGAGCAAGAGCACGCGCCACTGATAGGCGGCCTATTTATACCCGGACAACCACGCCACAAAACACACATAAATATAAGAATACACGCAATGAGATGCGCAAAGGGCACCAGCACGTAACATGCTGAATAAATGCATCATGTAACTAAAAAAGAATCGTTTGAATAATCGTGATTTCAATATTGACCAAAATAATCGTGATAATGATTTTTTCCATAATCGAGCAGCTCTGCCTCTTGCACTGCATTTTGTATTAATCATATTTTATTATTATTTATTTAGTTTATTATTGTGAAGAAAAAAAATGTTTGAACTTAGTTGCACCTTTGACATTGTTGAACAATGTATTTTGTGTTGCCAGCGTTGATTTAAAATAAAGAAAAATTTAATATTTTGGCCGCCATCTTAATGTTCTAATGTTGTTTCCTCCTCAAAAACACCTGGAATTTTAGTTTTGTTTCATTCACACATGTTTTAGTAATCATTTATTATTAGTCTGTCTACTTCTCAAAAGCTCAAAATGCTCTGTTCCACCTTGTGATGTCATGAAGTGGTAGTTTTCATCCACATGTTTAACTTTTGTTCAGTAGAGATGGTCAAAGGCTGAAATCATCACAGTGATTCTAGTGAAGGTGCATAGAGTCACTAAATGTGCAGGTTTGTGTGTTAAACTTGTGTGAATGAAACAAAACACAAGTCCAGGTCTGTTTGTGACGAGGAAACAACATTAGAACAAAGATCAGACAATAGTGTAATATTTAAAGTTGCTTTAAGGTTGTGGTGTTTTATTTTATTTTAATCTAAACTCAGCAATAAAACAAATTACGATCAATACTACTTAGTGTTTCCATGAATATATTTTTCATATTGATCAGATTCAGTTGTATTTTGTCTCTTTAAAATAAATACAAACGTCTTTAATCTTAATTTGAATAAATATAAATAATACAGACTTTTAATCAGTTCCATTTAACACCAAAAATCTCCATTAAAAACACACAGTCTGATCATTGAGGATTAGAAATGACTGAATATCGGTTCGATTAATCGCACAGCCCTTTTTGTAACGGATCGTCCAGTTTGTTTTTGGAGTAAAAGGCAGAAAATCAGAGGGTGGCTCTTCTATATTATTGGAAACTCAACTGCTTTGTAAATTCATCTCAAAACTTTGCAGAGTTCATTGAAATTAACGTGATTAATAATATTCACTAAGAATCTTAACTGTCATTTACACTGAGTTCTGAAATGGTTGTTTTGTTTTCACAGCGGTTCACACTTTGAAATATTTTGAGACGTCTTCATCTCAAGTCCCAAACTTCCCAGAGTTCATTTCAGTTGGATATGTGGACGACCTCCAGATCTGTCACTACGACAGTTTCACAAAGAAATTTGTCCCCAAACAGGAGTGGATGAACAAAATCACAGAGGAGGATCCTCAGTACTGGGAGAGACAGACTCAGAACAGTTTGGTGAATGAGCAGGTGGGAAAAGTCAGTATTGACAATGTCAAACGACGCCTCAACGTGACCGGAGGTTTGTGTGATCTGAACTTTTCAGATGATCATTTAACATCTTTTTATGAATGAAACACATTTAGTGTGAAATATTTATGGACAGTTTCTTTGTCCTTGTAATGAAAGTAGAAAAAAGTAGTTTTGATGTAAATCTTTGTGTGTGTTTGCAGCAGTGGAGTTTTGTTGGTCAGGGATCAGGGCTGTGTTACGTTCACTTGTTTTCCAGATTCTGTTTTATCACTTTTTGTACAGAGCCCAAAATCACAACACCAGTTTCCTCCCAGAGCTTCACACAGTTGTAGATTTAACACAAACAACAATGAAACAGTCGAGAAAAGACACACACAGACCAACTGAAGCTGTAAAATGGAAATATTTCACTCCTAAATACAAGTTGTGATTTATAAAAATGAAATAGAAACATAAATGTCCCTGAAGAAGTTTGAATCTTTTAAACTGTTTTGTTTCTGTTTCAGGTCAACATCTTGATCAGATGATGTACGGCTGTGACTGGGACGATGAGACTAATGAGATCAAAGGATATGATCAAGTCGCTTTTGATGGAGAAGATTTTATTTCATTTGATTTTGAGACTGACACATTTGTGGCTCCAAAACAACAGGCCTTTGTCACCAAACAGAAATGGGAGAGGGAAGGAGAGGGTGCCAGAGAGAAAAACTACATCATTCACATCTGTGCTGAGTATCTGAAGAAACATGTGCACAACGGAGAGAGCGCTCTGAAGAGGACAGGTAACAGACGAGTTGTTTTAAAACACTGTAACAGATCTTTATTTTGTGTCTCCTGTAATTCACTCTGGAGGGAATAAAACAATAAAAACTACAGGAGGATGGAAAGTATTTGTTTGAGTTTCTGTCAAATCCTTAAATGTGTTTGTTGTATCTGATGTCTTCTAATGAATTGTCCAAACTGTTCATGGACGTTAGTTTTCTACATATTTGTTGTATATTGTGTGTAAATGTGTGAGTGGTTGTGTAACTGTTGTGCTGCTGTGTAGAGCTCCCCCTGGTGTCCCTGCTGCAGAAGTCCTCTTCAGCCCCAGTCACGTGCCACGCCACACGCTTCTACCCCGACAGAGCCATGCTGTTCTGGACCAAAGACGGAGTGGAGGTGACGGAGGACGTGGACCCTGGAGAGATCCTGCCCAACGGAGACGGGACCTTCCAGACCAGTGTGTCCCTGGACCTGTCCTCTGTCCCCCCTGAGGACTGGGACAAGTTCAACTGTGTGTTCCAGCTGTCCGGGGTCAAAGACGACTATGTGACCAGACTGGACCGGACCAAGATCCTGACCAACGGTGAGAGCAGCTTTTTTAAATCTTTCTCTCATGTTATAACGTTGTTCCCTCATCAAAAACATGTCTGAACAGGTTTTAGATCATCCATGACATAAAAAAGGGACTTTTGACGCTGTTTTAATCTTGCATTTTACCAGCAAATTTAATATTTTCAAAACAATAAAAGACGACATGATAAAAACAGGTGAAAACACTTTATATCCAGATTTACCATTTAGAGTAAAAGATGAATTAAAGTTATATTTTTTTAGTTTTTACCATTATATTGTGACCTGTATTTAGTCAAACTCTGCAGCCCTGTTACGCTGCAGTCGATGTTCTTGATATCGACCATTTAACTCAGTTATTCCAGGACGATTTTAGAAAACTGGATAAACCAGATAATGACAGAAATTGGTCAGTGACGTTTTGCAATTTTCAAATGCTCAAAAAAATGAAAATATAATGACATGCAAAATGTGTAGATTTTTTGGGTTTATTTAAGTGTATATTTTATCCTTTTTGCCTCTTGAAAATGTATTTAAAGCCAAAGACGTCTTCAAAATGTCATTCAGTGCAACAGACATATTGTTAAAATTTAATTAGATTTAAAATAAACTATAGTTTTGAAAATGATGAAAAAACATCGTGAGATCTACAAAAAATAAACAGTAGGCCAGTTTTTTTTTTTTTTTTTTTTTTTTTAAAGTTTTGAAGAATTTCAAATTTGCCCAAACACTTTAAAACTTTAAAACTGGATAAAACTTAGCACTTTCCCTCATTTAAAAGTTCTTGTAAAGTTCTTACTTAAATTTTTTTTTTTTTTATGTCAAAAACAGACTTTTAAAAATACATTTCATTATAATATCACAATTTTACTGAATAACGGTTCAACTGAAATATAAAAAAAAGTCCTTTTGTTTGAAACTAACTTGATAAAAAATCAACCAAATCTCACTAAATATTTGTACATTTAATATATTTATTGTCCATTTGCATTTTGAATTATTACTCATGAATGTACCAAACCTAATTTCCTTTATTTGTGTGATTATTTTACATTTCAAATGAAAATTATGACTCTAATATAGTAACATCTATAGTTTTATTTGAATAGTAAATAATACAAATAAATTATAAAAGAAATGCAGATATTTTTGAGTTAAATGTTTAATAAATGAACACAACATTTTTCAAACATTTTCATTCTAAACTGGTTTATACTTTCTCCATCAAAGAGAAAACACAAGCATCAGTGTCGACTGTTCACACCAATATCAGATTTATTTTTGAAATTATAACAGTTTTAAACACATTTTGAACGTTGCACCAAATGTCGTCCAAAACTGTGGCTTTTGTATTTCTCGTGACAAAAGTGTCACCAGCAAAAACTAAGAGACAAATCTGAATCTTGTTTCCACTTGAGAGTCCTGCAGGGTCCACACAGTGATGTCATCAGGTGATACATGAGGAAAGATCTCAGATTATTGTTCAAATTGGCCTTTTAACACATTGACATTGATAAAATAGACTTTATTTAATACATTAAAAGTTGTTCTTTGTGTTAATTCTGAAAATAATTTCAAATGTTGATGCCGAGGCTTTTAAAATTATGCCACAAAGAAAAGTTTATGATTTTGTCAATATTTATAATTTGTGCAAATAGTGACCCATTTCACTGAATGACATTTTAAGACTTTAAATCTATAATATTCTTTCAAATTTGGTTTCTTCGTCCAAATGTTTATTGGTACAACTGAAGTGATATAAACAAATACATTTAAACAGTTTAAATCTTTACATATTAATAACTCGAAAAGTTTGTGTGTGTGTTTTATCATGACTGACGTGTTGTGTGTGTGTGTTTTATCATGACTGACGTGTTGTGTGTGTGTGTGTTTTATCATGACTGACGTGTTGTGTGTGTGTGTGTTTTATCATGACTGACGTGTTGTGTGTGTGTGTGTGTTTTATCATGACTGACGTGTTGTGTGTGTGTGTGTGTTTTATCATGACTGACGTGTTTGTGTGTGTGTGTGTGTGTTGTATCATGACTGATGTGTGTGTGTGTGTTTTATCATGACTGACGTGTTGTGTGTGTGTGTGTTTTATCATGACTGATGTGTGTGTGTGTGTGATCATGACTGACGTGTGTGTGTGTGTGTTTTATCATGACTGACGTGTTGTGTGTGTGTGTGTTTTATCATGACTGACGTGTTTGTGTGTGTGTGTTTTATCATGACTGACGTGTTGTGTGTGTGTGTGTGTTTTATCATGACTGACGTGTGTGTGTGTGTGTGTGTGTTTTATCATGACTGACGTGTTGTGTGTGTGTGTGTGTTTATGTGACGTGTTGTGTGTGTGTGTGTTTTATGACTGACGTGTTGTGTGTGTGTGTGTGTTTATCATGACTGACGTGTTGTGTGTGTGTGTGTTTTATCATGACTGTTGTGTGTGTGTGTGTTTTATCATGACTGACGTGTTGTGTGTGTGTGTGTTTTATCATGTGTTTATCATGACTGACGTGTTGTGTGTGTGTGTTTTATCATGACTGTGTTGTGTGTGTGTGTTTATCATGACTGACGTGTTGTGTGTGTGTGTGTTTTATCATGACTGACGTGTTGTGTGTGTGTGTGTTTTATCATGACTGACGTGTTGTGTGTGTGTGTGTGTTTTATCATGACTGACGTGTTGTGTGTGTGTGTGTTTTATCATGACTGACGTGTTGTGTGTGTGTGTGTGTTATCATGACTGACGTGTTGTGTGTGTGTGTGTTATCTGTGACTGTGTGTGTGTGTGTATCATGACTGACGTGTTGTGTGTGTGTGTGTGTTTATCATGACTGACGTGTTGTGTGTGTGTGTTATCATGACTGACGTGTTGTGTGTGTGTGTGTTTTTATCATGACTGACGTGTTGTGTGTGTGTGTGTTTTATCATGACTGACGTGTTGTGTGTGTGTGTGTGTTTTATCATGACTGACGTGTTGTGTGTGTGTGTGTGTTTATCATGACTGACGTGTGTGTGTGTGTGTGTTTTATCATGACTGACTGTGTTGTGTGTGTGTGTTTATCATGACTGACGTGTTGTGTGTGTGTGTGTTTTATCATGACTGACGTGTTGTGTGTGTGTGTGTTTTATCATGACTGACGTGTTGTGTGTGTGTGTGTGTTTTATCATGACTGACGTGTTGTGGTGTTGTCCTCTGTCTGTCACAGAGAAGAGTCACACAGTTCTCATCTCTGTTGCGTCTGTTGTTCTCGCTGCTGTTGTCCTCGCTGTGGTCGCCTTCGTCTTGTACTGGAGATTTAGAGGTAACACAACATCGAGTCATGTGCTTCTCATTTTGGACAAACTTCAAACATTAAACTAACAGTTTTTTTTTTGTTTCTGTTTCAGACAAACAGCCCTCGCCTCGTAAGTAACACTTTCATTTACTGCTCCTAATACTGCGACTATTACAGGACTGTGACGACTAGAAGTTAGAAATGGTGTTTAGTTGATTTCCAGATTAGATTTTTCTTCTTTCTCTGGAGTTCACAGAGTAAAACTAGAAGCAGAAGCAGTGTTTGATTGTGTGTAATGAGCTGTACTTTTGTGTTGTAGCTCCGAGTGAGCCGGAGGTGCTGCAGGAGTTGAACCCTCAGCCACGGTGAGTCTAACACTTTACTCTGTGTTTATCATCTGCTCCAAACCTGCTCCTTTAAGTCTACAGAAGTGTCTTGCTCAAAGTGAGGTTCATGTGACGTCAGCACATTGTAGAATCCCTCTAGTTTAACCTGAGCTGCAGGTCAGAACTCTCAGGTGGAGTTTGGAACAGATATGAACCATAAACCAGGTCAATAAATCTGTAATTACTGGAACTGTCCACATGAAACAAAAACTGACACAAAGTTCACTTCTTAACTGTTCAAGTCTTAACTGCACAAATTAACTTGGTTGGAATGATTTTTTCAGAGCCTGGTGCCATTATTCAGCCCCAAAGACGTGACTGTTGTCAGTAGAAAGGAGTTTGGGTGATATTGGAAAAAAAAGATCCCCCCATATTGAGAGACACTGGACTTTAAGTCAAATTCTGCAGATTTAAATCAAATCTTGTGATCATGTGAGGAGACAAAGGGACACGCTGTGGCCCAGATGCTTTTTCATGAACGAGAGTGTAAATCCATCAGCACCACACACTCTTACTGACATATGATTGGTGTTTGACCTGTTGATTAAAATGCGCTCGCCTTATCATTGAGATCGACCAAAGTAGAGATCGTGATCTATTGATCTTTCGATTTTTGGCACCATCCTAAAAACAAATTTGTAGAGCTGATCCCAAACAAATAATGGGAAAGTTCAACATTTGTGGATCAGAAGTTTGGAAATTTATTTCAAAAACTGTAGTGTAAAGTTCTACAGACCCCTGGTCTCCATCAGAGATTATGCCATCCATCTAGACCCTGTGTGTCTGTATTTGTCCTTCTGACTCTTGTGTTTGTTCACAGGTGAGATTCACTCGGACAAACCCAGAGACACTGTTTTACACCGTTATTGCAGATCGTCTGTTTTCTACTGGGATCAAACTGTAGCTGTATCAGCCCCACTGGAGCACCTTAACCACACACACTACATATTTAGGACTGGAGTCGGTTTCTTAAGGCACTCGAGTCGTTTATTGACACTTTGCTGCTGATGTCACCAACATTTCCTGAGGGTGTGATGCTAACTGTAGGCACTGCTCTGTCTGAAGCTCTGTTACTCAAGTTAGACTTTAATCTGAGTTTTGTTTTAACGCAATCTGACCATAAAGAACAGATTTAGCCAAACTACAACAGGTGAGCTGATTTGTGCTGTTAAAGTCCCACCCTCACCTCTGGTCTACCCACTACACACCAATCATCTACAGACCTCTCCGTTATTAAAGACTGGCTCAATCATGCACACCTCGCCAGATCAACAGTTTATCCCATGCGACTTGTTTTTTTGCTCTCTACCTCTTCCTCAGCCTCTGGTCCAGCAACATTTTCATCATCACTAAATCCTGTTAATTTTTTTGAACTTTTTGTCTCCCTTATTTGAACCGCCAACCATTACAACAGTATTTTATTCTGGTTTATTTTTGTGTGATTTGTTTAAACTTTTGTGGAGGTTCATTTACTTATTAACTGTAGACGCTCTGTTTGAACTCATCTGTGCATTTTTCCTTTTCAATAAAATGTGTTTGGGTGAAAAAGATCTTCTCCAAACATCTGTGATTAACACTGGACACAACGACTCATATCACGTGAAAATGACCTGAGTCAGCAGAGCCATCGAGTCTGTCACGGGTTCGTCCGAAATAAATGTAAAAATGATGGCTCAGTCAAAAAACTTCACTTAAGTGGGTTTTTATTCGCACCACAGCTCCAAGTGCAGAGTGAAATATTTACAGTGACAAAGAAAAAATGAGGTGGTAGACAGAAGTATTTACAAACATATGTACACTAATCACTTACAGTTGCAGCACCCACGTAGTCAGGCCAAATACCCACCCCAAATGACTGGAGCTCCCTCCTTTTATACCCCCTTAGCCCCTCCCCCCGGGCTAACCAATTAACGAAAATGGGGTTTTAAAGGAATTAACATAAGCAAAATTGTATTGAGGAACACAAAATCAACTTGGAAATAAACATAATAAAAATAACTTAAAGAACCCCTCATAAGGTTAACATAAGTTTCATTAAACAACTTCAAAAACCCACAAATGACCCCAAATAGACCACAATGGTCGAGTCCACGATCACATGTCCCCCTTGAGCGCGCCACTATGCGCTATTTAAAGCACAACCAGGAAGTGCCTCGGTTTGGCCCTAAACTCAAGAACGGCGCGGAGGCTGCTGCAGGTAGGAAAGCAGCGTCGGCGTCGAGTGTGCACCCTCGAACGCACTAGCCGGGAAACCGTTCAGATGTTGGGGAAAACAGGACCGCGAGACACACGAGCGGTCCTGCATAAACCAGTCTATCGGAGCTTAGCTCTGCAAAACAGGGAGGGAAGGAAGCGTCGCGCTCTTTGGCCAGATGCAGACGCGCCAGTCGGGAGATGACGGGGCAACACAGGCGCTCCGTCACATCATTCCCCTCCTCCCCAAGGTTGGCGATGTGCGGCAACCTGGACAGATAGTCCGCCACCACATTGGCCTTGCCAGCTCGATGGCGGATCTGGAAATGGAACGGCTGGAGAGAGAGATACCAGCGGGTGAGACGGCTGTTATGATCTTTCATAGAGTTCATCCAGGTCAGAGCACGATGATCAGTCTCTAAGACAAACTCCCTCCCCAGCAGGTAATACCTCAGACTCTCCAGCGCCCACTTGATGGCCAGGCCCTCCTTCTCCACAGTGGAGTACCTGGTCTCACGTGGCAACAGCTTGCGACTCAGGTATAGCACGGGACGTTCTTCTCCAGGTTCACCTTGGGCCAAGACTGCCCCCAGTCCCACTGCGGAGGCATCAGTCTGGACCAAAAACTGCTGGCTGAAGTCGGGACTTCTCAGCACTGGGGAGGAACACAAGCAGTTCTTAAGGGTCTGGAAGGCTGTCTCGCAGGCCTCAGTCCAGGAGACAGGATTTCTCTGGTCCTTCGTCGTCAGCGCTGTCAGAGGGGCGGCGATGGTTGCGAACTGCGGGACGAATCTCCGGTACCAGCCGGCCAAGCCCAAGAAGGACCTCACCTCCTTTGTGCGAGGGCGTGGGCAGCTGCGGATGGCCTCGACCTTGTCCACCTGAGGCCGGACCTCACCTCCTCCCAGACGATAGCCCAGGTACGTCGCCTCCTGCTTGGCCCACTGACACTTGGCAGGGTTTAGTGTCAGACCTGCCTGTTGGATCTGGCCAAGGACTCGCTCCAGGTGATGCAGGTGCTGTTCCCAGGTGTCACTGTAGATGACCACATCGTCCAGGTAGGCAGCACTGCAGTCGCCACACCCCTGCAGGACACGGTCCATTAGTCTCTGGAAGGTGGCAGGTGCTCCATGGAGGCCAAAGGGCATCACGGTGAACTGGAAGAGGCCGGCAGGTGTCCGGAAGGCCGTGTATGGGCGACTGGACACCTCCAGAGGCACCTGCCAGTAGCCCTTGCAGAGGTCAAGGGTGGTGATGAACCTGGCCTGACCGATCTTCTCCAGCAGGTCGTCAATCCGGGGCATCAGGTAGGCATCGAACTCAGACATCGCGTTGAGCTTCCGGAAGTCGATGCAGATGCGGAGTGAGCCGTCCTTCTTCACCACGATGACCACCGGACTGCACCATTCCGATTGTGATGGCTCGATCACCCCCAGGCGCTGCATCTCCTCCACCTCCTTCAGGAGCTGTGCCACCAGATGTTGTGGAACCCGGTAGGACCTCTGGCGGACCGGGCCCTTGTCCTTTAAACGGATGACGTGCTCGACCAGGACCGTCTTCCCCGGGTTGGCAGCAAACAGCTTGGAGACTCTCTGGAAGACCTGGATCAGCTGGCTGGACTGGTCAGCGGAGAGATGGTTGAGGGCCGGTTCAGCAGGCTGGCGGAGGTCGGCTAGAGTGGACTCCCCTCCCCTTCGCTGTCCACCTCCGTCGCCAGCAGGGACGCCACGGGCACCGGGATTACTGGAGCTTCCTTCCACTCCTTCAGCAGGTTAACATGGTAAGTCTGCTTTGCCTTCTTCTTGTCCGGGTGGTGAATCTCGTAGGTCACAGGGCCCATCTTCCGGAGAACTGTGTAGGGGCCTTGCCACTTGGCAAGTAGCTTGCTGGTGGAGGATGGCAGGAGGAGCAGAACCTTCTGGCCAGGCTGGAGCTCTCTGTGTCTGGCCTGACGGTCATAACCATGCCTTCTGGGACTGCTGGGCCTCTCGTAGGTTGACCTCAGCTTCCTCCCGGTATTTGGCCAGGCAGTCCCTCATTCTCCAGCACGAACTGGACCACACTGCGATCACTGGTGGTTGTGGGAGCTTCCCAGCCCCTTAGCAGCAGGTCTATGGTCCCTGGACATCCCAGCCATACAGTAACTCGAACGGGGAGAAACCAGTGGACGCCTGAGGAACCTCCCGGTAGGCAAACAGCAGAAAGGGCAGCCACTGGTCCCAGTCTCGTCCGGTATCAGCCACGAACTTCTGCAGCATCCTCTTTAGGGTCTGGTTGAACCGCTTCGCCAAGCCAAGCCATCCGTCTGCGGGTGGTATGGAGTGGTCTTGATTGCTGAGATTCCCAGCTGCCGGTGGAAGAGCTGCAGCAGTCTGGAGGTGAAGTTCGTCCCCTGGTCAGTCACGATCTCATCCGGAACACCAACCCTGGAAAAACAACTGCACAAGACAACGCAGCACCGCCGGGGCAGTGATGGTGCGCAGGGGGAACGCCTCGGGGAACCGGGTGGCATAATCGCACAGCACCAGGATGTACTGGTGTCCGCCACTACTCCGCACTAATGGGCCAACAAATATCCATGGCTATACGGCGAAATGGGGTTGGAAATCACGGGCAGAGGTTGGAGAAGGGCATGGTCAGATTGGCGGACATAGGACGTTTTCTGACAGGTGGGACAGGTTTTACAGAAAATTTTGTACATCCGCATACATGGAGGGCCAATAGAAGCGAGAAGCTATGCGCAAGTAAGTCTTTTGTCGACCCAGATGACCAGCCCAAGGCACGGTGTGTGCCAGGTGCATGACCAGTGGTCGACACGACATGGGAACCACGAGGCGCCTGGCACCGTCAGCCACTGCATACAAGATATCATTGTCAATAACATAGCACTCCCTGCTTCCTTTTGCCATGTCGGGCCTCTCAACTACTCTGGCAAATGCTGGCAAAGTCTCATCCTGCCTTTGTAAGGCCCCAATGTCCTCTGGCACCTCCCACATCAATCCTGCCTTAAAGTCTGGCTCCCTCGACTTTAGTCCCTTTTCAAAGCGCCGCTGGCGGCGTGACTTCCTAGGCCCATTTGTGCCCCCTTCAAACAACTCACTGTCCAGGGTAGAAAAGGTTCGAGACTGGACCCCTGCTCCTGCCCTGTGAGGGATGTCACCCCTGTCCTTGCCTGCGCACGGGTGATCACAGGACCTGAAAACCCCCTGCCACAGTCACTGACTTTAGCTCCCCCTTCCTGCAACACATCGATCAGCACAGGTAGATCCCACCCCAGGATGGCAGCTACTGGTAACTTCTCCACCACCCCCACCGACAACAAATACGGTTGATCATCCACAGTCACTGTCAGATCAGCAGTAGGGTAGGAATGGCAGTCACCATGTACACACAAAATGGTTTCCTGCCTGCTGTAATCTACGATGCTTGTAGGCACGACGTCCCTTCGGACCAGGGTTAACAAGCTACCAGAGTCAACCAGAGCTGTCACGGGTTCACCATTAATAGTAACCTCCTTGTAAACACTGCCGCCTCTCTCCAGCACTGACATCCTCAGCACGTGGGGTATAACATGCCCCGCTAAGTTTAGCTTCTTTGATCGGGAACAGGGAAGGTTTATGACCTGACTGCTGACAGTAGAAACAAACAAGTTCCTTACCGGGACCACGTTGGCTGGGTGCAGGGCTGGGATCTCCAGGCAGGTGGGAGTTGACTCTGGTTGCCGGTCTGGGTTGAGAAGGCTGCCAACCAGGGCCCCTGGGTAGGCAGCTGGGCCTCCCCTCCGCGCATTGAGGTACTGCAGCGCTAGCTTGGCCGCAGCTAATCCCTCTGTTGGCTCGTGCTCCTTCACCCAGGTGCGAATGTCTGCCGGGAGGACCCGTAGCAGCTGCTCCAAGATAATCTGCTCCCCGATTTTGCTCCTTAGTGTGCTGCTTCTGGCCGGATCCATCGTCGGTAGAGCCCCTTTAAACGGTGGTAAGTCTCTGTTGGGTTCTCTCCAGGTGGGATTGCCATGGACCGGAACTGCTGCCGATAAGTCTCTGGGGAGACGTCAAACTTGGTAAGGAGGGCTGCCTTCAGGTCCGGGTAGGAGTGTGCCTGTTCCTCGTCCATAGCCGTATATGCCTCCAGCGCCTTTCCAGTGAGTAGAGGCACCAAACGACATGCCCACTCACATTCCGGCCAACCCCATGTTCTGGCGATATGCTCAAAGCGCAGCAGGTAGTTCTCAATATCCTCTCCCGCCAGGTACTGTGGGATCTTAGGGTCCCCATACAGTCTGCTTTCCGCTCGTGGATGTTCTTCACTGCTCGCACTTGCCCTTGGCACATTCATGGACGAGCTGCAGCGACGCC